GAACAAGGGGATGAAGAAGAAGAAGAAGAAGAAGGAGAAAAAGAAGAACAAGAAGAATAAGAAGAAGGAGATGAAGAAGAAGAAGAAGAAGAAGAAGGAGAATAATAATAATAAGAAGAAGAAGGAGAAGAAGGAGAAGAAGGAGAAGAAGAAGAAGAAGAAGAAGAAGAAATCGGGGGATGAGACGAGGGCGCTAAACACTCCCTCCCACTCCCAGATTCCAAGCATATTGACCCAGCTCGACCTTGCCTCTCGCTCCCTCCTGACCTCTGGAGGGTCATGCCCACACGCCCCCCCCCTATTCGCACCTTTGGGGTCCATGAAGGTCGGCCTTTGCGTGCAGTCTGACCTTCGCCTGACCTTTGCTATGAGGCACAGGGTCATGGCACTTACTAATAGATGGGCTCACGTACGTGGATGTAAGCACATTTTTTTTTACTCTCTGTTTGTTCCTTTATTCTGTCTAACATGTCTCTCTCCCCACTTCTCTNTTCATACTTTGAATAAATAAATCCACTGTGTAATATTCAACGTCACTGCAACATAAATTGTTTGGCAACAGCAATGAAATAATCAACTATAAGTAAGATACTATCATGTATTTAAGGTACCTTTAACAAATTGTAATAGAGATATTGTAAAATATGTAACAAAATATTAATTGCTTACAAGCAGTTTTTTCATCAAGTGTGTATTCAGCTTAAAAACATATTTACATAAAGAGTTATGAAACAGAAAATGACTTTTAAAGCAGACCTAAATCATATGCTGGCTTCACTCATCTCATCATGAATTCTTAAACATTAGCAAAAAATATCAAGAAAAGTTCTATAGGCTAATAACACGTTAATCCTCTTTCAATAGTTTATCATTATCATAAAGTAAATAATACATGGACAACTTGTACTCGTGTTGACAGTTACAATGGTTCTACATTTCGCCTCACAATCATGTATGATGTAGGAGTCTTTATTTTCTAATATTTTACTTAAAAAAGAACATTTCACAAAACTCACCTTTTTGTACATAGAAGTTCTTAAATAGACAACACTAATTGGAAAGATGAGAGATTCGCACTTCATACTGCAATGTCAGAAAAGGTGTCATGCTTTAAGATGACCGAATCTGCAATTCACGGATTGCAACCATGTTTTGCAGGAACTAGACAAAGAGAAGAAGCAAGGATAAGATGAATATGATAGAAAGGGGAAGGATAGATGATAGAGGGAGAACAGCATTGGACAGTTAGAGGAAAGTGAAAGTGTGTGTCTGTGTATGAATATGCATGCCTGTGTGCTTAAGTCTTCATGTATGTTCATAAGCATGTGTTAGTGTGTGTGTGGTTGTGTATACATGTGTGGGAAATAATCACAATTTACTAGTAATATGTGCAAATACATGAAATAGGTTGTATCATATATATTTTGGCAGTTATTAACATATGAGCAATATTAGGATAACAGACTTACTTTAAACTAACTCTTAGATATATTACACCTATAGTTTCTCTTTTTTATAAATATGTATTTTGTCTTAATGTCTATTCAAACATGTAAATATACCCTATCTTTTGAATTAATACATCACCTCACTTATTCATAATTTATGTTTATTCACTCTCTCCACAAATATTTCTGTTCATATAATGCATCTCCTTTTCTGTCTTGAACAGACTTCTCCAAGTAATGTCCATGATACATATTCATATACATAGAATTCATTTAAAAGCTAATTATTATCATCTCTAAAGACTAGTCATATATGGCCTACTTGAACAGCTGTACAGACAGTATTGAAATATTTCACAGATCATACATCTTTAGCTTTTTCCACCCTGTATGGGTTATAATTAAACGGTTATATCAAAATCAAATTTACTCCAAGATAAGAGCTCTTCTGCTGACTTTAACACTGCAATAATTGGCAATTCCTTTTCACACAACAAATCTCAAGAAACCATTCCTGAGAATGTAATGAAGCTCTATACACAAGGCTGTTTTTACTATAGTATATGTGCTGTACATTAAAGAGTTTATAGGTATCATAAAGCCCAGTTATACAGGTAGTCATGGTGACAAACACGTACAAGCACAAACATTAAACACATAACTCTATTTTCCTCATATTATCACATGTATCAGGTCTCAATACTTACTCACAATCACTCTACTCATATTTCTATAATACACACACATATATACTTATTCATAAGCACACTCTCTATCCCTCACACTCATGCTCACTATATCGCTCAATCTCTATTCTTCACACTTAACCACTCACAATTTTGCTAAGTTACATTTTAGGTCACTCTTCTCTTCCCTGCTCTGGTTTACTTTCTTCGCACTATCTTTCCTATTCTCTCCTTCACCAACATATCTCTCTGTCTGTCTCTCTGTCTGTCTCTGTCTGTCTCTGTCTCTGTCTCTGTCTCTGTCTCTGTCTCTGTCTCTGTCTCTGTCTCTCTCTCTCTCCATTTACATATACATTTACAAATGTATGTAAATGTATATATATAAATATAAATATAATACATACATATATATGTATAATATACATATATATATATATATATATATATATATATATATATATATATATATTATATACATATTTAT